CCCAAACCTGAAATAAATAAATGAATTTGAATTGTTACAAAAAAATGTTACATATGAAAATTGTAAATGACAAAAATATAGATATAAATTGAAGATAAATAAATATTGAATATTGAATATTTCATTCAACACTATTTCGAGACAGTAATCCTGATTTGAAATTTTTACTCGTATAATTGAACACTGACCTAAATGATATACGATTTAAATAAATAGAATTTCATAATAAATCATAGTTCATAAAAAATTAACATATTAAGGGTAATATGTGCAATTCAGATTTGGTTTTCGTCTCATTAAAGGATTCCTTCTCTGAAGTAGCAAATATTAAACATAATGACATAACATCATAATCGCACAAAATTCTAAATTATTTATGGTAAATATCTAATTACCTTAACAAGTTTATCCCAACCACATGACACAATCACAGGATTGGACGGATTTGGTGAAAATCTCACACAAGAGACCCATTCAGTGTGACCTTCTTCTTGAATGTTAAATTTACATTCACCTAGCGTATTCCACAATTTGATGGTCTTATCTCTTGAACCAGAGACGATTTGTCGGTTGTCTGGTGAAAAGGACACGGAAAGAACATCTTTTTCGTGACCAACAAATCTACGGGTGGTTGTTCCAGTATTAAGATCCCAGAGGCGAAGAGTTTTATCCCATGAAGCAGAAAGTGCAAATTGACCATCAGAAGAAATGACCACATCTTGTACAAAGTGGTTATGGCCAGTGAGAGCTTTACGTGGTATGCCATAGGTTGCTTCCTCGTGGGTTAATTGCCAAACAATAATGGTCTTATCTGTAAATAATGATTGTTAATAAGATTGTCTTTCGTTGTCCATTTAGTAATGATGTTTAAAAAAAAAAATGATTATTTATAAGATTGCGATCGTGATTTCCTTCCGTTAGAAGATAAATGACCATTCAGTAATTAATAATTTAAAACATCAGCGAGATATTTTAAAAGATCAGCAATCAAATTCGATGAAAGATAGATGGATCAATAAATTCGATATTTCGCTGCGATAAAATCATTTTCCCTTTGAATACAACGAATTCTCGAAATATAACATACCACGTGAAGCTGATAAAATCATATCAGAATTCTCCGAGGTTGTAGCTGCCAATGTTTTGTTAATTGATTAGAATTCATATACGATATATATAGATATATATGGATTTTTGAAAATTTTGCTTTCTTACCAATAGCCGTCACCCAGTTTGAATGACCTGTGAAAAATAATTTAATTAAAATGCTTTATATTGCGCATCATAAATCTATTTCGCATACCAACGAGCGTCCCACGAAGAGAAAGTGTGTCGGTCATTTTGAGAAATGCAGAAAATAAGTAATTTTATCAATTTTATCGTTAGTACCGGCACTAAATTCTTTTTTATCAAAAAAAAAAAAACTGCATACTTTTATAATTGATTACGGAATCTGATTGGACAACTAACTAGCTGATAACAGATCGTCCAATCGTTTGACATTTACACAAAACATGCAACATTTAGTGCACAAGTACATATAGTTCATTCACTTTTTATACGTATATACGTATGTATATATCGATATATATTTTTGGGATAATGTATTAATTAATAAAAAGATTCTTATTATTCTTGTTAAAACTTAAAAATATTTCCTGATTATGTAGTATGTAGTGTACAAATCTTCATAATAATTCTAAGATAAATTCTAAGATACATTAATCTTTTACAAGTTTTCCAAATCTTCAATTGTGATTTTACCATTTAATTCTTGATATATATTAATGAAATCTTTTAAAACATGATCAGCATCATCACCATCCGAAAATTGACCACGTAAAAATGATCGCAATGAGAGCAAAAATTGTGGATCTTTCAATTTTTCCATTGCTGCGGTAGAGAGTTGGTGTGATTTATGTTCTTTAATATTTTGCGGTGCTTCCTGAGACGAAACAACCGGTACCGATTGTACAGGGTTAACCCCAGCAGTAGCTGTCGGCTCCGAACTAACTGAACCGGATTTCTGGACTAGATGTATTGTAGTGCCATCGTTTATACCATATTCCAACAACGTCTTGTTGTCAACCAATGCTTTCCCTTTCAGTATCAATCTTTGGTTTACGGGAGAAATTAAAACAAGTTGCCATAATCTCTCCTTTAAATTAAGAATAGTTTCCGAATTACTTAATTGAACTGTATGTGTTTGACCACCCTTTAATGATTTTACATGGACTTGGATTGGTACGCCTATTCCTAAAAATTTATGCATTTAAAAATATATCATTAAGTTGCTTTTTTACCCTCACAATTAACAAGATTTCGGGTGTCACCTTTAGAAGATTCAAAAGCCTCGGGCGTTTCTTGTGGCTTTTGTTTTCCTGTTGATTTATTCTTATTACTATGCGAAAGTGTAGACTAAAAGTTCAATGCAAGTGTTTAATCTGAAGGTTAAAAATTACTTTTTTTTACAAGATCTCAATCAATCCAAAGCTTGTTCAGCCACACTCACCCTTACAGGTGGTCTTGGTCGTGTTTGGGCGGGTGGAGCAAAGTCTTGCGGATATTTTACGGGCCGTGTACTCAAGTTACTGAGAAACTCAGTCGCAAAGCTTGTTTCGTCGACCAAACTCATTTTTGTTCACCAAAATTCTCCTGTTACGAAATTTACTCTTTTATATATGGGGAATGCCTCAAATTGATTGGACCGTTTAATCTGCCTTAATTTGGACTAACATTAATTAGGTTTTAATCTGTATAATTTCTTTGCGTTAACGTCGATAAAGCTCTTTTCACTAAGTGCGTATTAATATCTATATTTAGTTTTTAGCAGCCAATTTGAAGTCCTCTCCAAAATAACAATTACATATGTATAAAGTTTTTTAAAGTGGCTGTGGTATTTAAAAATAAGGTTGTTATGTAATCTTTACACATAAATCCGAACAAATTGTTGAAAAAATTTGCATGATTCGCATGAGGATAATTATCGTTGTTTACTATCGCCAAGAATTAATCGCGTTTTTATAAAATTCTAATAAAAACTGGTTAGTAAATTTTATTAATTCTTGTATTTAATCTAAACTTTTATCGAGATAATTTTTAAGAGGTAAATCGTGGTTATTATTATTATTATTAAAGAGTATAAAAAATAGTGAACTTTAATAATAGAAATTATCGGAAGTTAATATAGTTTCCTAAAGGGTGGGAATACAACTAACTTACAATGAAAAGTTTTTTTTTTGACTAAGTAGGCTTCCCGTGAGTTTCTAACCATAGGTACAGTGCAAATTATTCCGGCTCTAATCATTAAAATCGGTTTAGTAGGTCGCGAGTTATTGGCATTTTCTCCTTCATGACTATATATTGCCGGAAACTTACGAAGAAATTTATACCCTTCAACTACGATCTAGCACTTAAAGCTTTTTTTTAATATAGCATATATTTTGAATAAAACATGTGCGTAATGCTAGAATCTACTGAACCGGTCCACTTTAGCCAATACAATTTACAAGAAAACATAAGTGTGCCATGAACAAATTCCAATTAATCTTTACACATTAGAATAACATTTTAGCTAATAAATTCAATTACAGTATACCGAACTAATAACAAAGATGATTGCAAGCAACAGCGAAAGAATGATTGAGAATATGAAAGCAGATAGTCCAAACAGTTTAGCAATGAGAAAAAAAAACGGGACGGATGACTGAGAACAAAAGGCATAAGGAATAGTTACTTTATTCCTAGAAGATGTATTTCCAAGAGAAACACCCCATTTTCCTATAGTCATTTCGCCTACAAGCAAGGTTGGCTGTCCATTAAAAATAGATTTATCAATGGCCAATACTATAATCCATTTTTCCATTTGTCCATGGGTTTATTTGTCCATTTGTTTATAT